AACACTTTCTTTCTTTTATTTTTTCACGTCCCAAAGCCCCACTGATTAGTTCTCTATGTGCCTTTCGCCCATAAATCTTTTTCGAAATCAATATTCTCATTTAGATCTATTTGTATTATATTGACTGGAGTTCCTTCACCTTTGAGTTGAAATATTAGGCCTATGAGTTTCAGTTTCGGCCAAGCTTAATTACTGGCCTTCGTTACCAGGCCCACCCTTCAGAGATTTTCTTCTACTGAAGTATCTTGAACGTGCGGTCGAATTTTCTTTGTTTGTTTGTTTTGTTTTGTTTTTCTTCATAACCAAATAAATACACATATACCCTGGAATACCTAATTAAAAACGCTGACCGTCGATCCTACCTACATGCAGTGATCCTGATAAGGCTGAAAGCCAAAAGTGAGGGCGGGGGGTGGGGGGGAGGCAAAGTCATCCATCAGCAAAGCTAGGAATCGAACTGAGAACCTACGTACCTTTGCCGTACAGCTGTGCACTGTGCAGTGAGGGGCATATATCCGCCTTGTCTCAGCGGAGACCTGCTATAATTAATTTCGCCACAGACGCGATAGTACTATAGTATAAGTTGTAACAAGACAGCGAGTTAAAATAAGAATATTATCATGATCAACTAAAGAGAACAATCTTTGCGAGGTGTTGCGCAAAGGGGATCATGGTGGAGAGGACTCGGGGTTCGCGAAGAGTGGACAGAACGTAGATTTGGTTGTTAAGTTGATTTAATTTATTGTAAATTTATCAGCGCCCTCATAGACACAATTCAGATAATTAATGAGACATGTAAGCTAGGCTTCTCCGATCATGTATGTCAAAATCAATATATGCGCTGAGTGCGATAGGCAACAATAACACCACAGATGACAGACTCAGATAATTAAAAATAACTTTCCTACGCTACGCAAGCACTGAACTCATATCTCCTGCGTACAATGTTGAAGAGCTTTTAACCAGACACAGGTAGAAAAGATAGAAATGATAGCACAGAGGCCTCTCGGCAAGGTAGACGGGGGGAAAACTATATTATTATTATAGACACATGGTGAACAGTTAGGGTAACATTGGTGGTTTAATTCAGGAGGGACAGTAAATGGCATCTGGGCATGTCAAATAATGACGCAGGTTGTACTAGGCTAATGCAACATTATACTGCAGTTAAAAGAAGATACATGTTTTGTTTTGCAGTACTAGGCGCACTTCCGACCACCTATAGCGGATGAAAAAAGTAGGTGAGAATGCAGTTCCCCTCACCTTTAAAATTGTGAGTGTGTGTGTGTGTGTGTGTGTGTGTGTGTGTGTGTGTGTGTGTGTGTGTTTGTGTGGACGCGCACACATATGTGTATAATATGTCTGTGTGACGAAGATAACCAGTAAATTACAGTAAATTACTGCTAGGTCACCGGTGGGTAGAACAGAGCGTCCTGGGATCCAGCCGCTTGGTCTGTATGTCTGCTTGCTCGTTTGTTTGAGTAAATAGGAGCACATCGACACAATACATGTAAGGATGATTTAATGCTGAGAAAAGGTAAGACAGACTGATAGAAACAACAGAAGGAAAATAAAGAAGTAGGACCTTCCGGTGACGCCCTCCAACCACCCGCAAGCACTTTGTACAATACGGTCTTTCAACACAGTTCGATCATAAAAGAAGACGTGTCACAACGTTTCTGACATCCTGCATTAAAACCATGCCAAGAAACGAAATAAATAAATAAATAAAAATCAACGTGTTCGTGCGAAAATTGATATACAGGGGCTTCAAATTATAATATTGATATATTATTGAACACTGCACCTCATCGACAGATGACCCCATGTTTGTTGTTTGTTTTTCTTGTACTTGTAGCTGAAGGTGAAAGTTGCACGAGATCTTGACTGAGCCACAGGGCCAAAATGTATATTGTATTAACGACAACCCCCTATTGCCGAGAGGAAAGTGGCAGTCATAGACAATTGGATGTCTTCTTATACAATGTTGTTATGATGTAACCCCCCCCCCCCCCCCCACACACACACAAAACCGCTTGGGGGAAAATGGGAAGTGGCCGTTTGTACGGGTAATTGTGTTATAAATTTATACGGGTGGCCGTTAGAACACGTTCGACTGTACGAACGTTACTGCACTCCGTGTGTCTGTTCCTCCACAGCGTCGTCATGGGCATTTGCCACTGTTTTTATAGAGACAAAAGTATGTTAGACTCGCTGGGATACAAGAACACACACACACACACAGCGAGAGAGAGAGAGAGAGGGAGAGAGAGAGAGAGAGAGAGAGAAAATGAGAGGGAGAGAGAGAGAGACAGAGAGAGAGAGAGAGAGAGAGAGAGAGAGAGAGAGAGAGAGAGAGAGAGACAGAGAGAGACAGACAGAGAGACAGACAGACAGAAGATACTTTGATAGTGGAACCTAACGTTTCTAGACCCATGGTGGTTGATTTTGAAGGCTGGACACTTGGCCCTCTGTACACTTGGAGTTGGAGCGGAAACACGTTCTACAAACCACCGAACTTCAGTTCGTACCTGAACTTCAAAGTCTAGTTCTCCTGGTTGCTTAATTAAAACAATGGCTAGTGGGTGTGTGCTCGAGCGCACGTGCGAGAGAGAGAGAGAGAGAGAGAGAGAGAGAGAGAGAGAGAGAGAGAGAGAGAAAGAGATAGAGAGAGAAAGAGAGAGAAAGTAAAGAGAGACAAAAACAGTACATTCTGTTGCGATCACCGTTTTCCAGAGTTCTCTCTGAGATTGTTTGAGCGATTTTCTATTTATATCCCCCCCCCCCGAAAAGCGTTGGTGTTATCCGTGGACAGCACATTGGAAAGAAAGACCGTGAGAACAGAAGTCAAACCATCTGTTCATTTTTTTTGGTAAGAGTTTTACGACACTGGCAATATAATCAAGTCATACAAGTGCCGAAGGTTAGTAGAAATGTTACAAGAGAGTAACCAACAGAAACAAGAAGGCCGAGAGATAAGAGTGATAGATGTTTGATAGGTAAAAAGGAGCAAACCACACCAGAGCACCCGCTAACCACCCTCAGAGTCATATCTATGGACAGAAAAGATATGAATGGTATGTATCATATCGATGGCTCATGCAAGGATGACACAGATGATTTTGGTAACGGTTTTTTTCTTTAACACTCCTTTTTAAACCTGGTCTCTATCTGTGATTGAGAACAGTTTTGACTCTCTCACACTGTCAAAAACACAGGTAGAGTTAGAAAGGTTAGAAATAATTCAGAATGAGGTATGAGACCATGCCCATGTGATACTTCAGGAGAGACTAAGACTATGAGATGCCCCTTGACTTTCCTAGCATGACAGAGCACGTCAAACTCTCGTAATACAAGGTAAATGTACAGATATATAGAGAGAAAGAGAGAGAGAGAGAGAGAGAGAGAGAGAGAGAGAGAGAGAGAGAGAGAGAGAGAGAGAGAGAGAGAGAGAGAGAGAGAGATAGAGAGAGAAAGTAAAGAGAGGCGAAAAGAGTACATTCTGTTGCGATCACCGTTTTCCAGAGTTCTCTCTGGGATAGTTTAAGCGATTTTCTATTTATATCCCCCCCCCCCCGAAAAGCATTGGTGTTATCCATACATATATATATATACACACATGTATAATGCTTATATATATATATATATATATATATATATATATATATATATATATATATATATATATATATATATATATATATATATATATGTGTGTGTGTGTGTGTGAGGCAGCGTGGTGAAATCAGGCACTCGTCAAAATAATGAAATTGAAGAAACTCATTTTTCCGCCAGTTCAGCAATTTTGATTAAATTTTCAGTTTTTGGCTCAGTACTTCTAAAGTCCATTTAAAACAATTTGCTGTGTGACTTTTATTTAAAAACTTCGATTAAAGACACAAAAACTGTAAATTTACAATTTCCAATGACTCTCAAGCTGTGGGAGTCACCAAACTTAGGCGGCCATTTTCTCTCTAATTTTGTCTCTGAAACCAGGTGACACCACCTATTTCAATCAAAAATATCTCGACTTCTATTGAAGACAGAAGGGTAATTTTTCCTTTGAAATCAAGACAAATGAACAAGTTTTGAGATGATACGAAAAACTCCATATGCCCCAAAATTGACGAGCGTCTGATTCCACCACGTCGTAACACATACTATGCGAGGTCAGGGCTAACCCTGATGTCCTGTTCCTTAGAAAGTGGGAATACAAATTATACTGTCGGGCACGGATGACTCAAACACGTCGTGGATTGACAAATGTGTTCATCATATATTCCATAATTCGAGTTAGCGGAGAACTAAAAATTAAGGAGTTGTCAGGCGGAGAGTGGCAAATTTTAAGAGCTATCTATCATCAATGATTTTGAGTTTTCTGTGTTCGTTTTATTCGTTCGCGTCTGTACATGTACTGAGTGGATGAATAGAGAAACCAAAACCATTAAGGAATGCTGCTCAGTTGAAGCAATATGGATGGGGCAGTGCTTATGTAAGGCTATTTGACAATACATGTACAAAAACATGTTCTCCTATGAGACTAAATTGTTCTGCTGTTTGGTGTGAATGTGCCTAGAGGAGCTGCCTCTGTATTCTGGTAAGGAAACGGGGCATAATAATGTAGATCTACATGATGATAGCAAAGAGTTGTAATGCATTATATCAAATAATAACCTCAGTCAGCTGTCAATGAGAAATATGAATTGAACAGAAGGGTTGAAAAAAAAATAAGTGTTCGTTCACTGGAATAGATACTTCATTGAAATCCTAGCCTGAATCTTGAATGTATATATACATGTATAATCAGAGGACAAAAATGAGTACAGTAGAACTAGAACATGACTACAGCGGCACCTTACCGGAATCCCCCTATTTTTCTCTATGTAAACTCAATTACCTATGCTCTGGTTTAGTGGGGCAAGGAAAGGCCCGAACTCGGATACAGTGGGAAAGATCGAGCTAGCTCTATCTGGGGGGAAGATGGTTGGGGGGGCTGTAGGAGGGCTCCAAACAGGCAGTCAGCGGTGCAGCGTTGTGAATGGCCAGTCCAGCGATGAGTGGGGTGGGGCATGCGGCAGAGAGAGCTGGTGCGGAGGGACGCGTTACGTGAGCCACTCACTCCAAAAGTCATGTGCCGTAGCTTAGAGGCTCAGTAGGAGAGCGTATAGGCCATAGCCCTCGGCCTAGGCTAGGCCAAAATGTAAAAGAAGAGGAGAGCGTGTAGTGTGTGACTCTTGATTCATTGAATTGTGATCGTGGATGCTCATCATAGGCATACACACACATCTACTTCACCAGTTCTACAAGTTGCCCTTCCGGTACTATAGACCGCACAAGCAACGAAACCGAGGAAAAGATGGCTTCCAACAAGGACAAAAGGAAATGCTTCTCACTTGAATTAAAAGCCGAGATAATCAACGAAGCTGACAAGAAAAAGAAGACTAATCAAAAGTGCAGATTTTATTGATATGGAAGGGAGGTATTCATGTGGATTTTTAGAAATTTTTCGGTTATTTCCCCCCTTTGCATTCCTATAGCGCGAACTCGCTTACAGCGGGATTTTTCTTCTGGAACAAAATGTCCCGCTATAGCCGTGTTCTACTGTATTGCGGAAACATTAAATAAAATATCCCAGTCCTGAAACAAATCTACATCCAGACAATTTTGGTATTGGTATCATAAAAAATTTATTTGCACAAGATACGCATAAAACTCCAAAACAATATCTGTAAATTGTGCAACAAATTCTTCATGAACAGCAACAGGAGTCACGACGCACCAGACAAAGACTTGATGTTCAGGTGGCCAGTGATGTAAGCGATAAACGTCTGAAGGAATGCCACTCCCTCACCTGAATGGGAGCTGTAAAATAAAAATGAATTCTGAGTAAGCCACAGTCATTAGCACATAATAATATGTTTTGTCAATGAAGAGGATTTGGACACAATAAAAGCAGAGTCATATTGTTCAAGAAAAGGCAAAATTTCCCACATCTAAAAATGGACTAACGCACAGGTGTCAGCTTACGGGCTGCATCTGGTCCAGTAAACAATTATTATGTCTCGCCCAGGAGAGAATTTTAGACCGTTTATTCTGAAAATCTCCATAACACAGAGATTTACTCCAAATGTAAATTTTATGAATGTGTTGACAAGAAAAGTGGCCAAACATCCAGCTCTAACAAATTAGTACAACAACAAAAATTGGTAAGCCTTGATTTTGAATATATTTTAACCACTGTATGTTCTAATTCATATTATTGTTTAAAAAAGTTTTAGTTTTCCACTTCTCAATGACTGTTTATTCAGTTCATTGCACAAGCAACTATGAGTATTAAATGAAATTTGAGTTTGGCACCCAGGGCGATTGGGTTTGACACCCCTGGACCAGAGCATCTTCACATTGACTGAATAGAGAGTTTGATAAGAACTTTAGAAGAATAAATCCACTCTGTAAAAACCTTTTAAGTTTTTCTTGAAGTCCTTGCAATATCAATGAACTAATACATACCCAACTGCTGCTTCTCTAACACAAACAAAACAAACCATAAGAAAATCCTGCGGGTGCGCCCCAGTTCAATTTGCTTTTTTTGTGTTTTGGTTAGTGTTTTACGGTGCTCGGAACTACATAAGGTCAAATGAACGCGTAGGACACATTAAGCATTTTCAGTTTGGCAGGAATTTATTTTGAATTTTTTTCCCGAAGGCGGCTGAAGCCTAGTCTTATAGATTTTAGGACCACCAAGGGATTTTTAACGAGCCCAACTGGCACACCGGACCTCAGGGATTTTTAACGAGCGCAACTGGCACACCGGACCTCAGGGATTTTTAACGAGCGCAACTGGCACACCGGACCTCCGGGATTTTTAACGAGCGCAACTGGCACACCGGACCTCCAGGATTTTTCAGCCCTTATCCGACAAGGCTATGGTGTTCGATCTTACCTACCCTAAGATTAGGGATGTGGCTGAAAGACAGCAGTATGAAGGAACCAAGGCAAGGGGGAGGCAAAAAATGAAGATAAAAGCAGACGACAGAATGATAAAAGAGCAGGAAAGGAGGAGAAAAGAAAAAATCGTTTTTTAGAGAAGAAAATAGTCTGTCGATTCAGGATACAAACCCAGGGCCTATTGAATGAGAGGCGAACACCATAACCTATAGACTATAGACTTCTCATACTCCTGTTAGAGCGAAGAGAGTATGCCTACAGCAAGATCTTCATCTCAGTCTCACACTACAGCGCAGTTAATTTTACATATAATATAGAAAATAGATTCATCGTTTGCCTGTTTCCTTCATACCTTCTATGATTGACATAATACAGACCCAAAGGCGATATTGTCGCTTCACATGAGATAGGTAAGATTGTGTTTTATTTAAGAGATGTGCCTTTTTTAAAGGTACTCTTAATATTCATACTTACCTGACTAACTTCAGTTTTGGATAGGAATTAATATTGAATTTAGCCCTGATGGCCCGAAGGGCCATTTTAGAACTGCCAATGAATCTTAGAAATATCAACAGAAGAAAAAATCCAACTGAATAAGAGAGTGTGGTCTATTCTGGGGAAGTATTTTTTCTTTTCTATTGAGCAGTCAACTTGTTATACCTCACAAGGAAAGGTTGAGGAAAGCAACTGTGGGCTTTCGAGGAGTCTCTGAATTTCAACACAGCCATTAGATTTCTTATCAATGTTCCTTGTTTTGCAAGATCTATTTTGGTAAGCACCATCTGAGGAAATCAGTAAAGAAAGGCAAATATTACACACCGACTGTTTTTAGGGAGTATGGCAGTGACTTGTTTGAATTTAAAATCACACAACAGGAGCAGCTGTACTTTAAAAAATATTGGTGCATTAGAGAAAAGAATTTAGCTCAAGAAGAAAGAAAAAAACCTGTAAAGACTGCAGCATACACACTTACAAAATGCAAAATATATAAATTTACAAAAACTTATTTCTTTCATAAAATTCTTTTTTTACAGAGTACACTTTCTTCTACAATCACCAGTTTCTTAACGCACAAAGTTTTCTTTCACTTCTGCATGTATTAGAATACATATTGCGATTCTACATAAATAAGCGTACATTCAGTTATTAATATTTCAGCTCAAACTGGTTCCAAGATAATTACAAGTGCTACAAAAAAGTCAAAGGTTATTTGACATCATGGCATGAGAAGAAACAACAACATATCTTAAATAATTCGGAAAGGAAATGTGAAATTATTTGAAAAGATATGTATCTGAACAGAAAAACATATCAGTAAAAAAAAAAAAAAAGAAGTAAAATTACAAACAAAATTACAATGAACAATGTTTACATACTGTTAACGGGAGATTTAAATCAGTGTATCTCTTGAAATATTTTTCATCATTTCTTGTCATCCCCACTGATCCATCAAACAGAATAAATGTCATTACACTGAAAATACAAAGAAAATCAAGGTGAATTGAGGCGCACAAATTCTCACTTTTCATATTCCTTGCCCAACATCTCTCCAACACAAGTATAGATCTACCCAGAAGCAGTTTCTCTTCTACACTAAGTAAAAAAAGATCCACAATGATGTCCACTTAACCTATAAAAGGAAAAAGGAAAATTTTTCCTCCTTTTGTCGTTTGTCACTAATGATCCAACCCCCCCTCCCCAAGGAAATCGACCCTTTGAAAATGACACATAAAATGAAGAGGCACAAATGTCAAAGTTTTATCATGACAGAAGCACAAAGTGAAAAATACTTTTCTGCTTCAAGTTACGTGAACACATGAGAAACCTTCGCAACAACCAGAGGAACTTACAACATATGGTTTGGATGCCTCCTCCATCATTTCAACAGCTAAATAGTCCACTTCAGTAGGACCAGTATCCGCATCTACCAGCATAAATACCCTCTGCAAACTGGAAGTGTTCAGGAAGCAGCCTTAACTAGTATTTCAGGAAAATGACTTCTCTACATTTCCAAAGTTACATATGGCAGTGGAATGTCCTAAATGAATTTTGGTGCTAAGTTAGGGACTCCTTATAAAAGAGAAAGAATGAGGGAATGCTCAGTTCTCAATTCACTGCAGCTGATAAAAATAAAACCAATTGTTACAATTCCACAACATGAACAAACCTCTGCATGGTACCCGTTCCTATGAAGACCAAAATCCCCAACCAATTTAGCAAGGAGATTCCTCACTTAGAATGTTAACAATACTTACAACTGATCTGAATCAGATAGCCTGAACTTGACTGAAACAATGATTCTGGTTTTAAGAGTTTCATGAGAACAATGTTCTATTTTTTTGCAGTACACAAAACTCTGGTTTTCTGCTCCTGAATTTGAGTTGGAACTTTTTCGCCTCTTCCAACAAAATGAATGGAAAGGATGGGATTCACAGTATACCTGGCTCTAACAGAACAGAGTGCACTAGCTTAAACTTCTGTGAATTATGAAAGTTAAAAAATATCTCTTCCATAGTTCCAAGCAAGAAATCAGCAGCTTGATAGAGCGCTCTACCAAATTACAGCAAAGGTCACTCATTTGAACAGTTCCACAAAAACGATGCACAGAGAGTTAAAATGCCGTAAACTGTATTTCAATAAACAGAATTATCCTGAACCAATTAACATAATTCTACAAAGAAAGAAAGATGAGTTAAAAATCATTGTATGGAGTAATTTTTGCAATAATATTTGCCAGTTAAGCCAGGGTATTGTGATTTCTAACAAAGTTTTTAACTTGAAGACCGCTTTAATGTCCTTCGCACACGGCCAGAGATACTGGAGAACTTGATGATTGCTGTGCAGCATTAAATTTATAATTACTTTTTGTTCAAGTAGAACTTGCATTTAATATCATACTTCTCAGTATTTCATCCAATTATGTGATGAATTCAGCACAGTACATACTTCCGTCTAGCCTTGAGGTATGCTTCCACACTAGTTTCAAAGTGGTCCGGCATATTGAACCCATAGCCTGGCATGTCCACTAGGTGAAAACAGTCGTTTACATTGAACACATTCATCAATTTTGTATGGCCCTGTGAAAGGAAAAGACACACACAAAATAAGGAAAAACTAAATTACTTGAGTACATTCAGTACTTAAGAGTTTTCTAAAATACTCAGTATCAATATTTACTGAGTGAAAGTTGGCCTGAGCAGTGCACAATTTCTAAATGAAGGATAAAATATCATTTAAAGTCTTGTTAAAGGCCTAGTTTTTCTTTTACCTAAAGGGGATATAAAAAACCCCATTCAGTCATAGTAAGTAATGGTATCTATCAATCATCCAAGTGTTGTTTATCAACATAATTGGTTGGCCGTAAATGCAGTCATATGGTGCCACTGCCATAACATAATCTGTGGCCATAATCTTAATAGCTCCATTCTAATCATCCAGTCAGTCCATTTCAAAGACATCAATGTTTTTCTACTTTTGCTGAGGCAAAAGAAAAGAGTGCAACAGCCTTATTATGAGCCAAATATGAAACAATAAATCTTGGGAGTCAAAAACGAAGCAATGAATCTCTTGAAACCTTTATTCTTAATTTCTATCAATGCTCATGTTGGCTGACCTGGCACTGGGCCATCAGCTGTGATTGAACAAAAGGCCAAAAAAATTCCTTTACACATTTTTCTTTAAACAAAGTGCTATTTTGGAATGTGAGAACATAAGTAAAAAGGATGAATCACAAAAGCTTGGTACACTGGACCCCGACAAACACGTCAAACTTCAAGAGAAGCATCAGATGAAGAACTTAAGGGAACAATTTGATATCGAGACTAAAATAAAGGGTACTTCCTATATCCACTGCCAGAAACGTTTCTAAAAATATTAACAGAGATTGCACCCAGGAATTCCATTTCACTTTATTTGATTTTGAAAGTGGTAAGTTATTCAGTATGGATGAAACTTGAGGTGTCTATAATTTAATTAATAACAAGCGGCACCGATGTTATCATCATCCAGAGGTCAGATCAGCAACAGACATTGGCGATCACGGTTCTCCATTCAGGCATTCATTCCTTTTCTCGGATGCTCTTAAAAAAGCTACGTTTCCCTGATCTTTCCCTGTTACCCATTTGTTTATGTTCCCTAAGTAGGTTGCTCTGTGCCTCGTTTGCCTTCATTTTTGCTAGTGAGAGCTAGATGTTCAAGACCCTTATGTCTATTCAGGTGTCCCAAAAACTGCATTTGTCATTTCCTGATTGTTTTTAACAGTGAGCATCTCACGGGAGCTTCCTCTAGCACTACCTCATTTGATTTCTTTTCCTTCCACGGTACTCTTAGCAGTCTCCTAAGAAACCACATTTCTGTAGCTTCTATTCTATTTTCACCGTCTTTAGTGATTGTCCAGCATTCACAGCCATATAGAAGGGTAGACCATACATAGCATTTCAGAACTTTCATTCTGGTAGTCATTGAGATGTTTCTATTTTTCAGGATTGGGCTCATTTTATTGAAACTAGCCTTAGCCATTGCAATTCTCCGTTTAATTTTTTTTTTTTAATTGGCAACAAATGTTATCATATATTCAAGATATTTAAACTGTTGGACTGGTTTGATCTTTTCACCTTTGCTAATGAGATTACTACTAGGATTTGCTAGGATATTACCATGTATTCTGTTTTCTTTACATTTAACAATAGTTCTTTACGTTCACTTTCTGTTACTGATGCTATGTCTTTAAAAACTGGCACATATGCTTGCACATCCTACTCAAAATGTCCTGAACTGAAGCAATGTTTTTGAAAGAAAGATGGACTGGCTACCTTTACGTCATGGTTAAGAACAAAATTTTAAAAAAGTTTTCTTTCTACAGCTTTTAGCAGTACAAGTAGTAATAGTAGTATACATTCTTCGCCCCTCATAAAGAGTACACAGCTACACAGGTCAAGGTCAGCAGGGAACAGAATATCATCCTTTTCAATATTAATGGTCTTGTCAAGTCATCAAACTTACAGAAAATGTATGTTTATAGGACATTTACAATCAATTTCAAAACGTTTAGATAGTTTTAGTAGAGGTTTTACAGCGCTCGCAACTGCATAAGGTCATATGAGCACCAGACGATTAGAGGTGTTACAAGAGAGTAACAAACATAAAAAAGAAGAAGGGGAGAAAAACACAATAGATGTTTGATAGGAAAGAAGGAGCAAACAAAACCAGAGCACCCGCCAACCACCCCCTCAAAATGTTTTAAGGGGATTTTATTACCAAAGGTGAAAACATTCAATGCTCAACTGACACAATAAAAAGCTACATCAGACATTTGGAAGGGTTAATAAATATCAGACCCCACTTCTAAAAGTAAAAGACAAAAATACACCTTATCATTACAGTTACCAAGATTACCAATTTCACAGCACAGACCAGCTATCATCTATTTCATAGCAACAAACTCGTATCTGAAACAAACCTTATCTTTTTTAGATATTTTAAAAGTAAAGATATGCAGCACAATGAAAAAAAAACCATATTGAACTTTTTCAAACAAGTCATGAACCATTAAAAAATGACCTTCTTGCCTTGAAATAAAAGAAAATAAAATAGATAGGCAATCTCCTTAAGATGGTGACAGCCAAGCAAAGATAAAATATGATATTACAGAAATATTATTTACAATTCTTTGATAAATGAGCAAAATACATACTGGCTTTGAGGAAGTTCTGACTTTGAGAGAAGGTATCAGGGTAAAGATTGCAGCCAGCAGCGAAGACTTGCCAACATTGCTCTTTCCGATAAATGCCACCTGCCAAGAACAATTTTTATAACATGTACTTCCAAAACACTTTGGATCTTCGATAGTTTTACTGACAGCTGAATTACTTTTTACACATGTAATAACATTCAGAATCAAGCCAAAACAGCAACGCATACTAAGCAAGAGTCTTAAACTTGGGAACAGACTTGCATATAACAACAGCTATAATAATAATAATTGTCTTCTGAAAAGATAATGTACCACACGTTTGAATTATCTCTTCATAACATCATCATTGTAATGGTTTTCCCAGTTCTATATCTGTTAAGACCAAACCTGTGAAAGAAACTGAATAAGCCTTATTCTCATAATTCCGCAATTCTGGCCTTCTTGAAATTCTAGTCTACTAAAATCTGTCTGATTTGAACTCTGCTACTGGCCTTTCAGTCACAAAAAAAACCGTTCTCTTTTTACCAATGCTCTTCTAAAAAACGTACGTAAAGCCATGCCATAAGCGGCTTTCGAGCTCATAAATTTATTCATATTCACCTATACATTCATCTATACACACATGCTAACAAATGCATATGGTGTAACAGTCACAGCTAAAATTATCTAGCTGGCACAGTCAAATTATAATGTTCAAATACCTGGAAAAGAGATGACAGGGGATCATGAACAAATATTTCCTCATAGTCTTATACGATAAATACCAAAAGAAACTAGAAATAGTTATCTAAACTGCAGTCAGTATAACAGAAAGACATGAACACCTGGTTCAATCTAAAATGCAGGAGGAATCAATTGGCGCAGAATACGAAAACTGGACACCACAATACTGTTTTAAAGATTGTTTTACCTCAGGCACATCAGATTTTGGCATAATGTGAGGATTTGGCCAAGATCCGAGAAATTTGAACATCTCGCCTTCTGTGTTTTTTGGTTCGAACAAAGATGCCCCATCTTGAATTTCCTCCCTTGAAGGTTGAAATCCATACTCTGAATCAGGAATGATTGGCACTTGGACGTGGGGCTGCAATCGATCTACTGGATTGGTATACGACTGTGGGACAGGTTGAAAATCCGTGGCTTTAGCAAGCTTTGACTTGGCAGCATGAAGGTACTTCCTTTGTGACCAAGTCGACTGGGAGGAGCATTTTGGCCTCATCAACACGCCTACTGCTGCTAAGCGAGCCATTAAGTCTGAAAAAAGAAAGAACCAAATAAATGTCACCGTATTTAGAATGACAAATCACAAAGTACAGAGCCTGAATTCTAATAACAGTGAGGTGTGAAGAAATGAATCTTCATATCATACAACTTTTCAATTTGTTATCCTCTCCAAATTGCTGTAAAGTAGTCTATTGTCTAATAAATAAGTTTGCAGGAGACAAAAAAGGCCTGTCTAAGGTAGACTGGGTTGTAAGGTAAATTTCAAGGTGTACGACTTAGATCCTACCGCTCGGCCTCTGATTACCGGACTTGTTTATTCTATGACGGAATGTGACACAGTTGATATTGACGCCTGAGAAATGCTGGAGAGAGCTTTAAAAAAAAAGTTGCTTTGTTTGTTTGTTTTTTAATCTAAATATCATTTTTGAGTGAGCGCATATATCTGTGAGTGTTGGGTACAAATGAACAGAAACAGAATCAGTTGTAATGCTGTGATGTTGTTAGTGAAGCTAAAGAAAGAATAGTAAAGAGGCAAGCTTTTTAAGAGTGCCGTAATTTCTTCACTACATTGCCCATTCCTTCTTGTGCCCCACAAATTCCTGACTGAGTTTTAATGTACTTTGAGACTATATAGTTAATTCATGTAGTATCATGTACAGTATTATTTTACTATCAGTCCAGTTTCAGTTCATGATCAGGGGTAAAGTGTAAAGCAGTTCTCTTCCTTTTTATCCTTTTGCCACAAATTTCAACTTTACATGGGCCATAGATTATTCGTTTTTCAGATATTTGATGCATTCATTCAAACTACAATCAAACTTGTGTAAAACGGTCACCCAATGTCAAGGATAAAAGAGGCCGTATAACACAGGTGGCCGTCTTAGTAAGGACTGTTCAAAATGAAGAAAGCAAATACAGTCAAACCTGTGTAAGACGGCCACCCATTATTAAGGAGAAAGGTGGCCGTATAAGAAAAGTGGCTGAATAAGAAAGGTGGCCGTCTTAGGCAGGACTGATCAAGATGAAGAAAACAAACCATTCCCATCTGAGGCCCCAATCGAAAGTAGATGCTTTGTTGTTGTTTTTGTTGTTGTTGTTGTTGTAGTTGGTTTGTATTTTGTTTGCAATTTTTATTTTGTTGCTGATTTCGCACAAGGGTGACAATAAAACGAAATGTATCAGACGAAGAAGTCCAAGTGCCATGTTTAAACAAACACATGGGTCACCACCACTCGGAGAACGAGCTACGCTACTGTCACAAGTTCATGTTGACGTCCATTGTTACTTTGTTACAGAATGGGTAAACAGTGACCACTCATCTCACTTACGATTTGTGTATGAGTTCTAGGCGGGGCTTATGGGTTATGAGGGATCACACACTTACCTCACCAGCAGCTGAAAATTGGTAGCTATGGGCTAACAGTGGGAGGGGCCCATGCAACATGATCGGTCGGAGGGACTACCTAACAACAACAACAGGTGATAGAATTATGACGGCTCGCCCACAACGCCAGGGACTAATGCATGATTTATGACAAAACGTAATGGAGTCACTAAGGTGGCCGTCTAAGACAGGTGTTATTGCTTAGTGTGATAGGGGTTGTGTGTTAAAATATGGTGGCCGCGGCTGCGTTGGACAGGTGCCCGTTTTACCCAGTTAAATCATATAGAAAAAACGCAAGGGGGGAAATGGAAAGCGGCCGTTTGTACGGTTGGTCATCTTATTGAGGTGGCCGTCAGGGCAGGTTTGACTGTAATTCTCTTCTGAGGTCAAAACCAGGGCTGATCTAAGGCTTAGGACTGCCGTAAGGAGAATTCAAAAGGGCGAAACACAACGATACGGAATAATAAGTCAAGCCAATGACTCAACATGTCATTCCATGCGGTACCTCCATTGAAGGTTATCTACTGTATCATGTATACACAATCTTTCGTACCTCCATGGCCTTATAAAAATAGTCTGTGGGTATCCCAGGAGGTAATGACATCACATTACTAAAATTAGCAGCCAATCGGGAAGATGCGTCGTTCTATTTCTATGTTTAGTCACATGTTTACGGAAGTCCTTCCTGGCTTCCAGCCTTCCAAAAATCAGCTGCTCCTGTACCATTTTCATTCTATCTCTGTTGTACCGCTTAAACACAATAAATGTTGTTTGGATTGATATAAAGCATTTTGTCCTTTGTTTTTTCATTTTTGAGTTATTTCTTTTTTGGAAGTGCCTATTTGCAACGCCGCGTTGCGATTACCGCCAGTGCTAAATAAAACGCCACGTTGTGATTAGCGCCAGTGCTAAATAAAACGCTGTGTTGCCGTGTGTAAATTATCAAGCTTAATCTGCACATATTGTTATCGGAAGTTCTGATGTCCGAAGTGACAGCGCGTCTGCGCTGAGATTTTTTTAGCGTGGGTTTTTTCTTGTTTTTTTTTTCTTGTTGTTGTCCTCTTCTCGACTGACCAACAAATTGTTCCCATAATTAAATCTTGTTGCTTTGTAGTTTTTTTTAAGTAGTGATGAAGCATGCACATTCTGGTTTTGTCCCCAAGAGGAGCTCTGTACAAAGTAGGCCTTAGTCTGGCTTAGTATAGCCTATACTTTTCCTTTTACCAATATAGGTCTGGTTAAAGTTCAGTAGTGGCTTTCCTTGGTCTGTGAGTCTAATTTTTTTTTTTTTTAATTTTAAGCTCAGCAGAAGGAAAAAAACCCAACCCTTCCGGGACCGGGATTCGATGCCACGCTTGGAAGCACTGAAAATTAGACTTAGACTTAGAGAACGTAGACAGTAGACAGCTTGTATACGTTCTCTAGGCCTAACTTAAAGTTCGAGTTGCACTGTCTTGTTATTGTTATCCAAGCGTTTTTCGACTTAAACTTGCTCAAACTCTAACTCAGATGATTATGATTGTGAGAGATGAACAAGACGTAGACTTTTGTGCAAACAATGTCAGAAACAATTGTTAGATCTAATCTAGATCTAGATTTTTATAGATCTAGATCTACCCAGTATTGATCGGAATAAGACAACGTCATAAAAAAAGGAGTTAAATCCTAGGAGGTTTATAAAAAAACTGAGAAAGCTTCCACAATTCAGGCAGTTCTAGAAATCTAGATCTAACTACAAAATTATCACGTAGAAACGATGGTTACTAGATTTTAGATCTAGATCTACAACTAGATCTAGATCTAGATTCTAGATGTAGTACTGGCGTTTCAAATAGCACGGGAGCTATTCAGTACGCGGCGTTGCAAATAGCCCTTGCCTTCTTTTTTTTACAAATACTCCTCCCGCGGTGGCCCACTTCTCCCCACTCTCCCCTATTTCTCCGAACGTTCGGGAAAATAAAGCTAGGCACTATTTCTCCGAACGTTTGGGAAAATAAAGCTGGGCACTATTTCTCTGAAATCACATCCTTTCCCCCAAATTTCGGATATTATATAGATCTATAATTATAGGGAAGAGGCTAGCCGTACTTAATGACGGCTAGACTGGCAGT